ATATATTTCTTCAAACATTTCAAATGACATCTTTTTACTGTGTCGAAAACTTTTTAGTTAAATGAAATACTCTTTTTTTTTCAATAGATTCCCTCCTGTCTGCTGCCTCAGTATTGCGATTCTTTCAAGGATATTTCCAGTTTTTCCATTATCCTAGTAAAAAATTTGGTGGATATGCTGGAATGCTTATCAGTAGTAATATCCCTAGGACATTGATAACAGACGAGATAATTTCATGACAATCGAAAGCTCGTTCCTTGGTAACAGCACGAAGCCGAAGGCTGAGTGCTGTTACCAAGCAACGAGCTTGAGAAATTTTTCATGAAATTATGAGGCATTTTTCGAAAAAAAAAATCATAACTCAACATAACGAAACATTTATTTATTAAAAGTACAATTATTAAAATTTAAGTTAACATTAGATTTTATTAGTGACATTTTGAAATTTATTTGGATGAAGTTGTCAAACTCGATCGTGTTGTCATAGGGATTGAAAATTGCACTGAATGCAATTATCAGTCTAATGTTGACATGATTGGGTGAAATTGTTCCACATGACACAAAATGACGAAAATTGAATGGTTGTTAGAACAGTCGAAAAATTATCAGTGTAATTCCATAATAGTTTAAGAAATTTTTTGCATCTCCCTTCTTAAACATTGGTACTATTATATGGGTGATCTAATCACATTTCTTTGATTCGGACTACTTCATTTAGCAAACCGCAAAATTTTGCTTTGGTCTCTTTGTATAGATATTTCATAATTTCATACGTAATTTTGTCCTGACCTGAAGGCTTTAACCAATTTTAGATTATCTTTAGCATTTCTTCCGTCTTTGCGTTCATCGTTACTATTTGCAGTTTATCTTTATTAACGTAATCTTCTTCCTCTTTTATTCCTTCTTTTGGTTAATTGAATTATGATATTTCTTCGATGTATTGTTTCCATATACCGTAGAGTCTTGGTTATCTGCCATAAACGGGTCGACAGAAGGCAGATAAGCTAAAATGGCGGATAATAGGGAAGGTTAAATGGAACACAAGTTTAGGCCTATTGTAATACCTATGCGATGGACTTTACTCTTAAAAGTATTTCAATATGTACTGTATACTGTATGCACATGTTAATGTAAAAAAAGATTAAAACAAACCAGAATCCGTTTAACATTGACTTACTTACTTATTTATTGTAGATAGAATGGTTTAGAATGAGCGAAAAAACTAGTGATTTTTATCTAACTTGCCGATGTATCTAGTTTTGTTGCTTCCAAGTTTCACCGTCTCTGTAGCATCATAATATCGACAACTCTGGCTTCTTCTTGTTGATCGGTGTATTTTATCGCAGCTTCAAACATTTTTTGTGTGAAACTTTCTGGGTTTAACAGTCTCTGGTTCTTCTATATCTTCACCACCTCCACTATTAACAAGAGTAACAATTTTTTTCATCGGTTATTTCATACTGTTCATCCCTTGAAAATCACTGTCCTACATTACCCAAAGACACATTCTCACATCCAGGGATAAGTTTCACTAAGAGCAAAATACTTTCCTGAACTTCATCCGGAGTGTTGACCGCGGTTACATGATCCTTGCCCAACAGCTTATCCTAAGACTTAACAATTATTTGTGCCCCAATCTTATCCCATGCACTTGAGATGCACTAGTAAACATCTTTCAAATTGATGTTCAATGTAGGGATTAAGTCTCGGTCATCGTTCATTTCTTTTATAATGGTTACTAGAAGGATTCTCCTGTAGTTACTTTTCAGCGTCTCCAAAACACCCTGATCCATAGGTTGACAGATAGCTGTGACATTCGAAGGGAGGAACGTGGCCTTTATATCCCCATCTTTAAGTTCACTTTCATCAGGATGAGTCTACGGCGAATTATCTAACAGTAAAACTGCTTTTCTTGGTAGATTATTGTCTTTTAAAAACTTCTTTGTTGATGGTACGAAGTCCATGAAGAACTAATCTTGTGTGCACAGTATATCTCCCTTAAGGAGTATACATTATTATACATTTGGATAATTTTTTTATATGTAATAAAAGTACAATTTTATTGATTGAATTAACTCATCTACTAAACTAGATTATACAAAGTACAGTCAACTTCCGTTGATCCGTGGGGTTGAGTGGCATGGTTGTAGCGGATAACGAAAATCGCGGATAAGCCGTAACTGGAAGTCACCTAGTCTTACACTAGTCACTACAATTTTAAATGTGAACTTACATTTTTCGACTTTTTTAAAAAGTAGTCTGTCACTTGTCTCTGCTTCTTTGAGTGACAAACGTGTTTTTTTATTCTACATTGCAGCATCAGTTTTTCAGCGAGTAGCGCGGTTCCTGGCACTCTAGGTATTCTCGAAGTTCATTCACATGACACACGGCCGCTTCGTGAGTCACTCGTCCACCAGATACAAGCTCCCCTTCTTCTTCATCACTTTCCTTTTTCTCCAGGGCATTTTCTTAGGATGTCTTCATCCGTTAAATGCCCAAATCTCGGGACGGTAGCGTCGCAGTCTGTCCACTCTTGCAGATTTGCTGCGTCCACATTGTCTTCCCAATGTACACTTACTAATAAAATTCTCTCATAATTTATTTTTAGTTTATAAATTATTTAAACAATAAATCCGGCATTTCTTGACACCACTTGGAACAGGAATCAAACTCCCAGTTCGATTTATTTACACTATGCATTTAATTCTTTCACAATTTTTCTTACATTCTAAAAAGTATAGCTTATGATCGACTTCCATAACACTAACCGATATGTATGTATCTCATCATCATCTTTATCTCGACAATTCTTTGTGGATCTTGACCTGCTCTAAGATTCGTCGCCATTCTGTTTAGTTTTTGGCGACCTATTGCCATCTTCTGATTTTTTTAATACCCATAAATCGATCTCAACTCCATCTATCTCTTTGCTTCTTCTTCCTACTGGATTTCCGATGGTTAGCTTTTTAGCGATCGTGTTGTCTGGCATTCGTATTATATATCCAGCCCATTTGAGTCGCTGTGTTTTAATTAACGTTATGTCTGGTTCATTAAAGAGTTGGTACAATTCGAAGTTATATCTTTTGCGCCACTGTCCTTGATCGTTTATAACTCCAAATCATTCTACGGATTGTTTTACACTCGAATATTTCCAAAAGTTTTTCATCCTTCTGCGTTAGGTCCATGTTTCTGCCCCATATGTGAGGATCGACCTCAGCAGTGTTTTGTATATAATAATTTTATTTCTTGTTTGAATATTTCTTGAATGGAATTGTTTTTGGAGTTCATAGTGTGCCCTATTTGTAAGGTTTATTCATCTTTTAATTTATTTGCTTGTTTTCTTGACCAGTCACCAGCGAGCCAAAGTATGTGAAGTTGTCAACACGCTCAAAGGTATGACTTCCAAAGACTGTTTTCTATTTCTCATGTGTTACAGCATCCTCAGTAACCAACATGTATTTGGTTTTGTCTACGTTGATGACTGAAGCAACCGATTTCAGCGCCATTTAGGGTGACGAACTATTGTTTAACATCTCATTGCTACGCCTTATTATGTAAATGTCATCAGCGTATGCTAAGATTTGTATCGTTCTATTATAAATGGATCTGTATGTATCTACTGAATAATATTTGAGATAATTCAGGTAAACAATCGAATAATTTAACTGGTTTACAGTCGCATAAAAAATAATTCGATTAAAGTGGTGATGTATCGTCCGTGTTAGATATCGCTTGATTCACGCCGTACAGGTCATTCATCCGGAGGTGGTCTCTGGAAGCCGAGATAGGTCTGGCTTCGATAGAATACAATACTTTTGCTTGGCGAATCTAGTGGGGAATCTGTGACACTTAAAGAAGCCAAAGCCAGAATATTGTTTTTCGGACATCTAGAAGAGGGGGAATGAAGAAACTTTAACAGATGGAAAATAACAGGTGATCATTCTGCTCACTTGATAATGAAGAAATCTCATCAAAAAATTGATTTGAAGCATGTGGAAAATCAAAGGGGAAAGGGATATTCAAGAAAATTGCATAGACGAAGGAAAGGGAAGAATGTACAGTTAAACACTTAAATATATTGAGATACATCATTAGATATATTGAGTTTCCAGTAAAAACTTAATTCGTAGAATCTGTGGTATTTGGGGAATAACATGTGTGAAATACTTAAAAAAGTTTTAGACTGACCAATAAATGTATTTAGCAACGTCCTTAGATATTTTTCCATATCTTGTAATCTGTATACACCTACTAACAGTACTACTCGCACTGATAATGGGTGTTAAAGGAAAATAATATAAGGATAATCGTTTTCCTCGTGAATTTTGGAAAGGCTGTACAGTCGCGATGGTAGTGCATTTGTATTTCGTACACTTTTCTTAATTTATTGTTGAATAGAATATCTGGAACAAATTTTTTGGTTTGTCTGAAAATAGTTCCTTTGGTCGTCATCGACAAAAGATAAAAGGGATCTAATCGTTATGAAAAGGAGACCAAAAAAGTGGCCTCTGATGGCGGACATATCCGGAAATGCAAAGGCGCTAAATTTAAATTTTCCAACACTTATTAACAATAGCTACAAAATATTGTTCAGACGAGAAAGTTTTAATTAAATATTAACTATAATAGTCTAAAAAGTGACACAATTGGTAAAAAACTTCAATATAAATAAAATTTCATGTGACAGTTGGGACAAACAATAACATAACCAAACTAAATTTGACTTCTCAAACAAGGAAAGAGACTGTGTTTCCTTGTTTAAAGTGGCCTCTCAAGATAGCACTTCATGTCTAACAATATTTTTGTCCCCACTACCTTTACATTTCTTTTTTATTTTTGCTCGATGGGTCAGTTTTACTTCCTTGTAGTTGTTCGTGTTCAGTAGCTCTATTAAATCCAGTAGTGATAAAATTTAAATATTGTTTGATGAGAACCAAAAATTGTAAATGAGAACAATCTCATTTTTTTTAAATTCATGTTAGTTTTTATTATATTTTTAGGAAGAACATGGTATGAAGAATTCAAGAGATTATCCTACAACATACCTGTCGTACATACCGAAACATTAAGCTATCACAACGATCAGGTGTTGCACGTCAGTTTTTCCCATAATGGGAAATATTTCGCAACTTGTTCCAAAGATGGATATGTCATTGTAAGTATACTTTAAACTATCAAGGTCCAAGAATTCTATCATAATTTATTCGCTACTAGTTTGGATCTGTAAATAATTGATAATTATTACTAATGCAACTGGCCTTGTTCGTCTATGATAGGTGGAATTATACAAGTTTTTTTGATTTAGTTATCATTTTACGTTATTTACAGAAAAATTATGCACATAGTATACATAATAAAATTATTTTCATCTATACAGGGTAGGCCAAAAATTAGTTCTAAACGAAAGTTATATTTTTCGAACTGAAACTTTTCTTAGATATTATTTTCAATTTGAATTTTCCTCTTTCTGTCCTATTCCGGTAGTATAGTGATTTATTTTATACATAGTGTTTTTAATAATATCGTCAATTACGGATCAATTATGGAGTTACAATTAAAATTAAATCGAGGGGCGTCAAATTAGTAGAAACGGTTTATTGTGTAGAGAATAGCACAACTTTACTAACAGTAAGGGAAAGTAGCCTAATTTCGGATACCATTTACAATTAGTGTCATATTTTTCACCTAATAACACATTTTAAACTTTTATCTACTCAAGAGTACTTGCAGAGTAATATAGAAACTAATTTTATTATCATAGACAATTTATTGAAAACCTTTTTTACAAAAAATATTGTTCAATAAAATTAGTGCTTTTGTATGTCAAAAATTTTAGGGCCCCTAATTTCGGATACCCTATCCGAAATTAAGACACCATTTTGTTCATCATAAGAATAGTTACACATCTTGACAAAAGTCGCAAATATAGGTTTTCTTCTTATCAGCATTGGCGCACATCTCATGACACCACTTGAAGCACTTTATACACCTTATCCACTTCTCACCGTGTGTATCTTCGGAATATAAACTGTCACAAAACATACATTCTGTGTCTCCATCTTCATCGTCTACATCTATATCAGAATCATCATCCAAAATAAGGTCATCACCAGGATGTGAAGTGTCACTACTACTCGATTCAATTTTTTTCTTTTGCTTTTTTTGGCGTGGAGTTTTTTTCTGTTGACTTGATTGAATTCGTTGCCTATTTTTGGTTTCTTTTCTTTCAAAGACTTTTTTCTTTCTTGTTCGGCTACACTTCGTTCAAGTTCATCTTTATAAGGTGTACTAGTTATTATCCAACTAGAACCTTTTCGAGGATTTTTTTGTTTGTTTGTTTGTGAGGTATAACTGCAAGAAGGCAGTGGACTAATATCCTCAGCTCTTATCATAGTTGCCGTAGTTTCAGTTGCATTTCCATTGGATGATTTATTTGTTAAGTTATGTTTTGGAGGTGTTCTTTCGATAATGCTTTGTGGTTCTGGTCTTGACTGACCTCTTGTTGGTAATACTTCCCCATGATTTTGATTTATGGGTGGTGGTGTTCTTTCTCTTTGTCTCTCCATTATAAAATCGTGATCAGAAAAGTTATTTTTTATTAAAAGGATATATTCCAGATTTGCGAAAACCATTCGCGGAAATTTCTGCAGTAGCACTTTTCAAATATGCCGGGCACATAAGCTTACAAATTTGATACGAGTTTATGGTGCGTCCAGGATTTTGCCTTAACCACATCTCAATTTGTTGCGAATAATCTGTTTTAAATGGTGACATAAAAGACAAATCTAGAGGTTGTAGTTTGTGTGAATGTGCGGCGGGATACACAAAATTGTAACGAAATTTGCACGTCCTGCTTCTATCACATCTATATTTCTTGTGTGGCTGTAGTGACCATCAAGAATAAGCAGCACTGCTATACCGCTGTATTCATACAAAATACAACAGTAACTAATGCGCCTCTTTCAGTCGCGGTAACAGATCCAACCTGTTTTTTTCCTTTTAATGTTATAACACGAGTATTCTTGGACTGAACCGTTGTTATGCCGCTTTCATCAACGTTATAAACTCTTGCGGGGTTGAAGTTAACTTTTTCCATTGACGTTTCTAAAAGATCATAGAATCTGCTGACATTTTCTGGGGTAAATCCCTTAATTCGGGCTTTCGAGATTCCTTGTGGTTTTCTAAGGGACAAAACTGCGTTTCGCCTCATAAATCCCCTTAACCATTTTTTACCGGCAGATTCGGCATGGGCAAATGGATGACGAAGACCATTTCGTAAAGCTATTTGATATGCAAGTCTCTTGATATCAGCGGTCCCAATTTCGTAAAATCGCCGGTCCATTTCTAGGCAATACGAGACTAAATCTGCTTCCATTTCTGCAGAAAGTACTGGTCTTCTTCCAATTTTAACAGCAACCAACTGCTCCGGAGTTTTATTTTCTTGCTTAACATAATCTTCCAGAGTTGATTTCGGAACAGCAAATAACTTCGAGGCTTTAAGATACCCCATTCCCTTTCCCCTGACGGCACGGATAGCACGTATCATTCGGTCTGGATCCCATTGTTTATGTTTTTTACTTGTTTTTGGCATTTTCTTCTGAAAAGAAACAAAAGTTTTTATGCTAACATGATCATCAATTTAAGGTTCCTAATTTCGGATATCCGAAATTATGGGACTTGTACTATCCGAAATTAGGAATTTTTTATTTTTAAGGTTAGGGCTCTCTAATTTATATGTGATTAAAATCTGCTTTAAATTAGTAGCAAAATCAAATAAAACAGGTTTCTAGCTTACCCCTGCCAAAAGATCAAACTTCAAACAGGAATAAAAACACGAAAAAATAGGCTTTGAAATACGACCGAAAAAAAAACTGCACAATAACGTTTGGTGGTTTCGGCACTGCCATCTAACGGGGAGCAGCTCTACTACCTAAACAATTTAAGATAATATTCTCTGTGGTATTAAGCGTGACATACGTATAGGTTTCTGTTCGCAAATAAAGAAACTTTTTTAGATACACCGCTATCCGAAATTAAGACATTATCCGAAATTAGGCTACTTTCCTCTAATAGCAGTGACGTGCCAGTAAATACTAAAGTTCTATTTCAAATTTGGCCGACATAATTTATTAAACAATAATATTGATTCTGTATTACATACCGAATCATAAATCCATAATCCTTCGGTAATTATATCTAGGCGACGTCTACTCTTTTTCTTCGACCTTGATAAAATGTTCCTTCAGTTTCTTCTAATGTCTAGTATCAATGTGGAATAAATAATTTTTCAAACAACAATGTAACAGTTTCTAATAAACTCTGAGCGTCTGTAAACTTGATATTAACATTTTGTTTTGCAATTTAATGTCGTACTTGCGCCTAAACCAATGCGGCGAAGGGTTTCAGTCTGGATGGTTTCAACAAACATATCCATTTTCTTGGAGTAATTTGTCAAATTTATATTGAATATGGCATATTGTCGTCTGATAACTTCATAAAGTTGCTGTTTAACCACTAATGTTACAAATGATATATTTTTCTCCGTCAACCAAGATATCACATATTTATGCTTTGGTAGAATTACTGGTGAAATAATAATTTGTATCTCCTCCTCCTAAGTACCTTCTCTGTTGAGGTTGGCGATCAATATGGTCCAATCTCTGATGTTTCGTAGCCAAGATTTTTTCTTTTGTCCTGTGCCCCTTTTACCTTCAATCTTCCCTTCTAATATTACCTGTAGCTGCTCAAATTTCCTATGGCGCATTATGTGTCCTAGATATGACGTCTTTCTAATTTTGATAGTATTGATCAGATGAGGGTGTGTGTTTATTACTCTCAGTAGTTCTTCATTCGTAGTTCTGTTGGTCCAGCTTATTCTTAATATTCGGCGGTACATCCCCATTTCAAATGAATTTAATTTGTTTTAACATACTGTTTTCATGTCCAGGTCTCACAGCCATATAGTAATAGAGACCACACATAACACTTCTGTGTTCTCAATCTTATTGAGACTGATAGCTTGGGGTTACAGAGCATTTTACGCATATTCATGAAACCAGATCGTGCTGTTTCAATGCGTCTTATAATTTCTTTTGAGTGGTCTAGTTGACTATGTAATGTGAGCGTAGCAAGTGAGTGAGAAGTTGAATTAAAGGCTAAGTAGCATATAAAAGATAATAATTATTCGAGATAATTATTATATATTCCAAATCAAATAAGGGATAATTATTACAGTAAAATTCGCATTTTAAATCACACAAAGAAATTGACCTAGTTATTGCATTGTTTGTTAATTGTTTAAACATAGAAAAGCACGTCAAACAAAAAACTGTTATTGTAATGCAATATAGGACCCACAATTCAACGAAAACACGACCTTGGCACTATAACCGGTATTGAAAACATGAGCTCGATAAAAACTGAAAAACGGGGACAGCCAAGTCAGTAATGAGTAGTCAGTAATGGGCAGTCAGTAATTGCTGAACTCCGGCTGGACGCGATAGCGTCCAGTACGCGAACAGTACGCGAGACAGTCGGTGATTCTCCGGGGGCCGCGTATCATCTGGCATAGTATCGCGTGTAGTCCGGTTATTGTGGCAGCTCGAAAGTTCGCAACCCTCAACTGACCGAGTTCCAGAAGACTGAACGTGTCGTGGTTGAAGCCCTAATATACACATAAGGTAACAGATTTCTTTATACTAACCTGTGTAATTATATTAGTACAACTGTCAACTCTTCACTATCTTGCTACATCGTCTCCCGACGCGCAGAATAACGTGTTAACGATTGTATTAGTAACTTCAGGGTAGATTCAATATATTGTTGACTCTAATTTGGTTTTCTTTTAATGTTCCTTTCGTCCGACTCACTAGAGACTAGGAGAACACGAGATTCTGCGTATGCATATCTCCGGCTTCAAAAGTAAGCCCATAACCTCTGCTCTTTACAGGACCTGAGACCGAGGAGTCCTTACCCCTATCCCGAAATCCCTTATCTTCTCGTAAATCCACGAAGACGAGCCAGCCCTCCAGACCAGTGTGACCAGTATTCCTTGCAGCCGCTCGCAGGGTTAGCATCCCTTGAGGATCTATTGTGTATTTCATTTGGTGACAGCGTTTTCCTTACCTTCACATGACGCTCCCATTCCTATTTTATTACAACTATTTAGCTCTCTGACCAGGTATACGAAGCTTTTTGAACTCTAAAGGGTGATACCATTTATTTGTATATTAGGTGTAACTTGTTCATGGGGGCTTTTGTGGAATACCAGAATTTTGCTTTTGGAACAGAATGTCCAAGCCCAGCCTGTGACTTTCTTCTGATAATATGTTTATCAATATTTTTAGTTGGTCTTTTGTTTCTGTTAATACTACGGTGTCATCGGCATATCTTATATTGTTAATGATGACTCTTTAGGTACCTCTCTGGCACCTTCAGGTTGATCTTCAAGAGAAGATCTAATTATATGTTTGGCATATACATTAAATAATAGGGGGGACAAAATGCACCCTCGACGTACTCCTCGTTCTATGTTGATGTACTTGGTGTTTCCGTTGTCTGTTCGAACGCATCCTGTGTGGATCCAGTGTGTATTACTTATGATAGCCATGTCGTGTCCGTCCAACCCTACTTCTTTTAGCACCTCAATCAATTTTTCGTGTTTGATGCGGTCGAAGGCCTTTCTATAATCGACATAGCACACATACAGCCATTTTTGAACCTCAAGATACCTTTGTGCCATCAGTGTCAATCCCATAATTGCTTCTCTAGTGCCTGTACCCTTTATAAAACCATATTGAGAATGACTCGGGTATTCTTCACACTTATTGTGAATTCGGTTATAAATTATTCGCATAAAAATCTTAGCGGCATGACTCATTAGGGATGTTCTTCACATTTCCTTCCTTTTGTTTTTTAGGAAGAACTATATAGTGGATGTTGCAGAGGTATCTTAATTTCCGGACAGCATTATCACTTAAGTGTTTAAAATGTTCGGCTGTTATTAGGTCTTCGCCGGGTGCCTTGTTGTTCTTTGCGTCTTTTATTACCTGCAAAACTTCATCGGTGAGAATGTTTAATTTTCCATCTGTATCTATTTGTGGGGGCTCTTCTGTTCTCTGATCACCAAACAAATCTTAATGAAATGTTATTTCTTTCTGTTTTTCAGGGTCTAATTCCATTTGGTTTTTCTTGTTTGTTACAATCGATAAGTGTTTATGCTTCATTTGCTTCATTTGCAAATCTTCTACCTCTTTACATTTTTCTCTGACCTCCACGTATATAGACGTCTTTCAGGTAATTTAAACCATGTGTTAAGAACCACCAGGTTATTCTCTTGGCAAAATTTAACCTAGTGTGTGCCTCTTTCGTTCCTGGTTTATAGACCATATGGGCCGCTGATCGATTCTACTTTTTCTACTCCTTCTTTGGCATTCCAGTCTCCCATATATGTTGATGTCGTCTAGTTTTATGTGTTTTTTGATCTTTTCAATATCAGAATAGAAAATCTCAAGATCTTCGTCAGGGCTCTCTACTGTCGGTGCGTATATTTGTATTATATTGATGTCGAATGGTTGTCCATTCAATTTATAATCATTCATCTTTCCTTGACTGGTAGAAAACTTTTCGTGTGTTGTTTCATGGATGCTGTATCCAACACTCCTACACCTGACTGGGCATCATCATATTTGCGTGCATAATAGAAATGGTTGCCATTTACTGCATCCACATATCCTTATCTAGTTTGCCTGCTCTATATAAAGTTTTAACATTCCACGTAGCAATTTTAAATTTTCTCCCGGGGATTCTTAGCACTCCTTGACGATTTAATATTAAATATTTTGGGAATTTAATGCGATGGTTTCCCACTTGCCTTTCGCATCCTATGCCGTTGACGACGGGATGTCGTTCATCCGTCTTCGGGGACGATTTCTCCTCCCCATGACTAAAGGTTGCCCTTGCGTCATTCCTAAGAATAAAGTTGAATGCTTATACCGACAAACACTCGGTCCCCATCTGCTTCAGCCACCTAAGCATCTACTTAAGTGTTGTCCTCTTCTACCGCGTGGAGGTGCAGATTTGGGGTTTCCCTTCATTGAGATCAAGACCATAAAGGTATTTCTTGATACTCTCCAGTACTTTTAGAAGACAATTGTTGTAAAAGTACATTGTTGTACAAATTATTAGTAAATGTAAATTAAGAAGTAACTTTTGTATCACCCATTTTGTGTAATTTTTTGGATTCATAACATTATAATAGTCTCCCCATTTGGAACCCATTTCAAAATATAAGACCATTCGATGCGAAACCCATTTCCTAACCACCATTTACGATTTTCAAATTTTTTTCTTTTGAAATGTTTTTGAATGCAAATGAGTCTTGCATGCAAATACGTTTCGTCAACAGATACAATTGGTTTCTGTAATTTTTAATATTCTCTACATTTTTGTTGCGTAGACCGCGAATTTTATTCCGTTCAAGAGCGCGAAAGTTATTCCGTTCAATTAATCTTTTTCTTCAGTTTTTTTTTCTGTACTGTTTTTCCCCGCTCAGTTAATAAACATCGATTACATAGCATTTTTACCACTAAATGTCAAAATCTTTACAGTTATGTATAGGGTAGTTATATTTTCAGTGCACTTTTCACGCGTCGTTTACGAATGGTTCCTCGTAGCAATTTGTTAATCCGTGGCAGGTCCCGTCCCTTTCGTGAAGGAAGAGTTCTGAATTGAGTAGGGGCTTTTTAAGACGCCGACACGACTCGACCCAATAGCTGATAGGAACTTTTCTTACAGATATAGTGGACAGGTGCGAACAAGGTATAACCAAATAAGCACCCGCGGATCAACTGAGGATATGGAATAGGGCAACAGCTATGTCATTACTCAATCAAGGGTACAGTTGACTGATTTCTGCTGACGGATTGATAATATCGCCCCTCATGGGCAGATACCACTAATGATTCAAACAGCCGTGACACTGCAATCAGGCAGATCAGACCTAATTATCTTACCACCAAATGAATAGCGTAACCCAAAAAGTAGAGATTCCATGCGATCTGGTTAGCGACCGGCGCTGTACTATTTCCAGGTCAGACAGTGTGAAATGGGCTACCTGACACGAGCACGCGAGCAACCAGGCCACTCATGGTAAATGGGCCATTGAAAGAGAAATCGATATACATAAACTTAAGAACAGAAAATTAATGAATATAGAGACATGAAACGTCAGAGGTCTTCTCGAAACTGAAAACCTTCATAGTAGAAAGAAGGTAGAAAAATAATTAATAAGACAAAATATAGACATATTTGATGTAGCAGAAACACACTGGAGAGATCAAGGATATTTTAAAACAAAAATCCACACTATCTACGAGTACATATCAGGATCTGAGAATACAAGATATAATAGAGTAGCCATACTGATAAACAATATAATATTAAAATATATCAGGCAATGTGAAACAGTAAACGATAGACTCATAAAAATAACATTAGAAGCCAAACCAGAAAATTTCCATATCATTCAGGTATATATGTCAACAACAGATGCATCAGATGATGTTATTGAGACATTTACGACAAGATATGTATGAGTTATAAGAAATGACCAGAGACAGCGATCTTCGGAGACGGACAACACACGACATCACGATAACCACTACACTCCATCAGTGGGTCAGGACTGAGGAGTGAGAGAGAGGGGGGGTTGAGAGAAAGCATCTTGAAGAAAATTCCACAAAAAGAGCCAGTATATATTATTGAAGACTAACGCCAAAGTGGAAAAAACTGAAAATGAACCATATTTGAGATATTGACGGATAATTTGGCTTGGGCTTTAGAAACAACAGAGGAGAACGTCTTCTACAGTTTGCCAGTGAAAATAATCTAGCGATAATAAATACACTTTATAAACACCCCCCAAGACGGCTTTCATCGTAGACTAGTCAAAATAAGGACCAAAAAAATCAAATCGACTACACACTCGTGCAGAAAGATGGTAATAAACATAAAAACTACGCCTAGAGCATACTGTGGATCAGATCATAAGGTGCTAAATATTAACTGCAGGCTCAAACTACACACACCTAGAAAAATACATTAGACAAAACAGCTACGGACTAACAGATGTTAGCCCTTTAGGATAACGGATGTCAAGGAAAATCTTAGAATTAGTGGAAGAAAGAGAACTCACGCTACAAAACATTTCACAAAAACAGAAAACAACACTCAAGAAGTAGCGGAGCTAAGCAGCAAAATAAAATGTATATGCATCAGAGATAAAAACAACTATATAAATAACGTGTGTCAAGAACTGGAGACCCTAATGGAGAAGTGAAAACTGGAAAAATTACTCCTATACAAAGAGACTTCAAAATATGCATCAGTCTCAGAATACAAGAAACATGCAATCAGAGATTCAGAACTAATTATTTTACGAGCCGAAGTAGAGAAAGCTCGTAACCAGTAAGAAATAAAAAAAAACTCCAGGCTAGATAGCGTATCAATGTACAAGTCAAGTCAAGTCAGACAATATAATATGGATTACAGGTGAATGTTCTGATGGGTGATGCGAATATATCCATAAAAAAGGATCCCCTATTTTATTCTGGGATATTAATGATCAGACGAAATAATAATATCTATTATAGGAATTCTATACGCACTCGATTTGAATTTGATATAATTAATTTTTAAAGGTATAATTTTCTTCCTTTTATTAAATATGACTTTTTAGTTATGGAGATCGAAATATCCAGCTAAGAAGAAGTATATTAGGAACATGAAACATTTCAAATGGAAGTACACCCAGTATTCGCAATTTAATGAATCTGATACTCTTCTTCTTGTGTCCGGAGTTCATTTTGGCACAACTCACAGTACTTCCGGTGAAATTGCAGTTTTTAATTTGAGTAAGTTATTTATATATTCTCTTGTAAGTTTGGTTTTAGTTAATACTTCAGCATTTAACTTTAGTATATTAATATCCAAAAATATTTAATGGAATAAAATGGCACTAGGTCACACATTCGACATGGTGATAAATACCAACAATTAATGTTAAACTTCGAATTTCTTTCTTAATCACCCTATTATTCTAATTTAACCCTCCCGGATTATATTTTCTTAGAAAAATAATAGATTTGTATTTTTAAGGAAATTTTGAACTGCAATGTCGAGTAGTAAACAAACCTTATGACATTTTCGGTACTTGGTACAGCGATCAATACTTGCTCTCTGGAGACCTACACTGGCTTGCGCATCTAGTTAGTACGTCGCATCTTTGGCTGAACAAAGCATCTCAAGAAGCAGAGTCCGAATTAGTACCAATCACTCACTGCCTTTTCCGGTTTTACAACAGAAACGCCAGTTCCATAAGGGCGATAATGATAGCGAACTGTCTTCCGAATTCCGAGAATGTCAATGTGGAAAATAGTGGCGATGGGAATGTAAGTCCTCAGCAAGGGACGTCGTCGCAACATGGGAATCCTGTTAGCCACAACGATATGGCCTGGACACCTTTAGATGTTAGACGATGTAAGTATTTACAGTAATGTAATATTTTTATGAGGTAAGAATTAAATAACATATCGATATCAGTATAACTCCAATGTGTTTAAAATATTGACTATCTGTGGACAGTTTCAATGTTATTAGTATCTACATTATTATTTTCTGTACTTTCCTGTTTTTTATTGTATCCAGACTCTTTCATACTTTGTATCCAGTTGTTTTATGCTCATGTATTTAACACTTTCAACACTTCCACCAAATGCATGATCATTGATTATCACTAGAGCAGAGGCAAATTGCCTTTCTCAAGTGATGTATTTTTACTACGCGTCTACACTTGATAGTCTTTAATTGAATAAGTTTAGGGGGAGAGCTGCTTGTCTTAAGTTGTCAGAATTATATCTGCATTTTTTAATTTATCAATTTTCATAGATTCTAATAAAGATAGAATTAGCCTTAATTTTAAATGTGGAGAGAATTTAAAATTGGTCATTAAAAGAATGATTACATTATAATCTAGAATGTGAAGTGCATAAGTAGAATCTGTTTTCCTATTATTGAAAGCCTTTTTGTGTTCTGCTATACGTTTGTTAAAGGTTCTACTAGTTTGACCGATAAGTTTTTGGGCTGTCACCAGCTGTGTTTGTATACACCACTGTTTAAGCGCTTTTTCTTTTATAAGTGTATTAAAAAAAAACAAGAGCCAAAAGTAAAAGCACTTAAACAGTGCTGTAAACAAAATTACATGTGGTGACTGCCCAAAAACTATCATCGGTCAAATTGGTAGAATCTTTAACAAAATAGCAGAACACAAAAGGGCTTTCAATAATAAGAAAACAGATTCTACGTATGCACTTCGCCTTCTAGATCCTGATGTAATCATTATATTAATTACCAATTTCAAATTCTTCATATTCCAAATAAATCACTTGAGAAAGGCACTCTGTTGAAACAGCTGTAGTGATAATAAACTATAATACATTTTGTGAAAGTATTAAAACAAAAGTTTTTAGTCTTTTATTGTTAGATACATTTAAATGTCTTTAAATTTTCCAAAATATTATGTTAAAAGTTCTTTTGTTAAAGCTATGTACAATTCCGTGTTGGATTCAATGAAAAAAGACTTTCCTCATCCAATTTGGTATAACGAAGATTACAGAAAGGTTGAATCCGAATCGTGGACTGCCATAGACAGCGATGAAGAAGTAGAGGACGTAGGGAACAAACCGAACGAAGATACTGACGACAACAGTTCAGAATCATCGTGTGATACTGAAACTGAGAGGTAAATATCATTTAGAATAATATAGTGGTAATATTTTAGTAGCCGACATAGGATATACTAGTTGGTCTGATAAGTAATATCCTTTAAAATGAAAAACATGTTTTTGCAGAAACTTCTTTTATCGTATTCGATGTAGTCTCCTTTTAGCTCAATACAACAATTCCAGCGATTTTCCAACTTCCTTATGCCGTCCGGATTATACGATTCTGGAACTCTGCAAAATATCGGTTTGTTTCGTCAACTACCTCTTTTTTCGAGCTGATATTTTTATTTACGAACCATCCCTTCAAATTCGGGAACAATATTCGAAAGGGCCTAAACCAGGGGAATAAGCCGGATGAGAAAGCGATTTAAAGCCCAACTTATGAATTTTTGCCAGTGTCGTAACGCCCTTATGAGCCTGTGCATTGTCTTTGAGACACAAAACTTTTTTATTCCGCATAAGGTGGCCAATTTTCACTCTGTTTCCCAGGCCAAGTTCCTGCTTCGAGGTTTCCAATAATGCACAATATATTTTGCATTGGCTATTTATAGTTTTATCTTTTTTAACATAGTCAACGAAATGTATGCCTTTGCAATCCATTATGCAAAATACAGCACCCATATCCTTTTTGACCGATTGAGACACTCTTGTCCGCTTCTGAGTACCTTTGCCAGCTTCAGTTCACTGCCGTGCGTTCATTCTGTTCTCTGGTGTATAGTAGTTGATTTAGACATTTCATCAACGGTTACCAATCGAAGCCAAAAGTCCGACGGATTGAGCCTTCATGAGTTCCAAACACTGCTAAGGAGTGGTCACACAATGTTGCAACAACTGCCGCGCATGCGCGGATGCTACGTTGCTACACCGGCTGTCGGATGACAACAAAGGCGTGGCCCTTTATATTCAAGTAGAGATAAGGGGATTCGTTGAGACTTTCTTTTAAATTGAATTAATGTCGACTGGGCGTCAGGCAGATTTGCCCCACGACCCACGCCTAAAGTAGACCATAACTCCAAACCTACCAAATTGTCGCAGTGCAAATCAATGGTAGGTATATGGAACAAAGGAAATGAAACGACACATCAGTTATAAATTATATGTTAATAATTAGTAAAGGAAAAATAAATTTAGCATTTAAATAACTATGAAATAATTAATAATAAAATAAACTGAAAACATGTATTACTACTTAATAACCAATAGGTGAATCTACATAGTAACTAGATGCGCGAAAGCACAAATAGGGCTTTTAGCCCTTAAAATTAAACGGGGATTATAAGCGTCTAAGCTTGGGCTTAGGCGAAAACGCTGTAGAACAGAAAACAATAAAAACGGTATCGGGCTAATAAACATGCGCAAAAACAATTAACAAAATGGGTATAATAAAACTAGCGGAGGTATCAGCGATGTTTTCCTAGTCCATAAGAGGAGGAAATCAATGGCGAAAAAGGTAACCAAGAAGAACAACGTAATAAAGAAAATGAAAACTCTACAAAGAGAAACATATTAGATTAATATTCTACTGTCACATAAAGTTAAATCTAAAACTAATAAGTAGACTTAAGCAAATATTGGCCCAATTGACCCAAAAATATGCATTTCTTTTAGAAAATATGCATTTTTTTTAGAAAATATGAATAGTGTCAATGGAAGCATAATATATTTAATAATTATTGTATACTTATTAATTTTTATTATAAAACAATATAAATAAATTTTAAAACTAAGTAGGTAATTGTAATGAAATTAGTAAAATACTATTACATACTTAGAATAATAGAAACAATAAATGACCAAATGTTTTTTAAAATTATCTAATAAAAACTTATGGCTCCTGTCTGTGTACCTATATATTTAAAAACTGAGAAACTTCTTTCCACATCGATGGATATGAGAGCATATTTTAAATTCATAAAAATATTTGGTTCTAAATCTATTTCTTCGCAAAAAATGACCAACAAAAACGTCAGCTACGTCAGTAAGTTTCTGAAAACCATTGTTTTGGATGATGGATTGGTGGTATATAACCCAAAAGTTCTAGAAGGTCTTTGTATTTCTTTGGATTGATATTGAGTGGATCCTGATGCAAAGGCTGGGGTCCACTATCAATGGTGGTCGGCCAGACTTATTGTTTTTCAGTGGCGTGATGTCGAAGGCCAGTCCTCATTTAACGTCTCTTTGTAGTACAGTTAAAAAGGTAAAGGTACACTTTCTGTATTGGTGTGGTATTTACAATAAAACACCAAAATTTCTCCATATTTTAGTTTTTATTTTGGCCTCCTATATTATCACTGAAAGCCTCAAAATTCGTTACAGATTCGGGAAGTTCCTTAATGTATTTAAAAAGACATGATATAATTTCCTGCGACACCCAACAACCTACTTCTTCTGACCACATAAACATGGTAGCTGATTTGTTTGCTAGATTTTAAATTCCTAAGTTGTAGGTCCATAACTGACGAGAGTAATAGACTTTACTACACGTCAGCATAGGGGTTGGTACAGTATTTTGTAAATCAAGGGCCATAGCTGCGTGACTCTGACCATTCTTAGCAATTTCTGCAGCTTTCTTTTTGGCGTGTCTGGCTGTGTCTGCTTTTCTCAAATGAATGATTTTTTTTAATACTACAGCTTCATTTCTGGAGGCCTTATCAACAGTGTGTCTTATGGTGACATTAAGCTTGTCACATGTTTTGCATGTATTAGTGTAGGGTTTGTGAAAACTCAAATTGAACTGTGTATTGAATATTTTTCTGTACAAATAAAGCTCAACCGGAACTTTGCTTCTATATACACCTCTTTATAAAGTTCATACATCTTGTTTACACTTAAATATGAACACAAGGGTTACTCTTTCTCGACTAGTAGCTCTTAACCTTTGGAAAGGACCAAATGTGATGTTTAACTAATGCCATTTTGTTTGGTGAAATTTTATTTGCTGGACTGTGATGTCCTCTTTCATCTGGTAGAGGAATGCCACCATCAGTTTTTTTTCTAACATTGTTAAACCTTTTGTTACTAATATCATGGAGACCTAATAAGCAAAAACAGGAAAACAGTCAAAGCCATAGTAGGTCTTCTAACAGGACACTGTAAGCTGAATAGGCACTTGAAGCTGATTGGATTATCAGATGATGAACTGTGCAGATTCTGTCACCTCGAATAAGAAATAGCAGAGCACATTTTATGTCAGTGTAACAGCAAATGTGCGGTTTCTTTGCATTAGGAGAAGAAAATCCACCGGCAAATAGTTAGATGGAAGGTACAGTCTCGAAGCTACTAGACTTTATAAAAAGGGTCAGGCTAGAGAATGTTATCTAGGACCACAATAGATGAAAAGGCCGCAGTGGAATAGGCCGAAATGCCACCTCTCTTAATCTAATCTAATCTAATATCAAGGGTTTTCACGAAAACCTGCTTGCAGACTCTGTGTCCTTTAAAAAAAATGTAAGTACTTTTTCTCTTTAGCACCGTCCGTCTGTCTCTGAGGAACCATTTTTTTTACACAAGAGTTAATGAAGCTAGTTTGCAAACCCCAAGACTTGGCAAGCAAGCGTATGCTCGTAAGCACTTGCGCACACCACCACTTCCTCACTCGCGCCAGATCTCGAGCGAAGTGCATTATTACCTTTTTTTGGAAGGTCTCCCTTTGCTCACTAAGACTCACCTGCATTAAGCGACTATATTCAATTAACTGTAGAAACATTCTGATTCAATTTCCCGCTTGGAACGCTCCCAAATTGTCCAACCGGACAATATCACTACCATGGAGTAAATCATACGAACGACATTGTCGTTCATATAATTTACCCCATGGTAGTGCCATTGTCCGGTTGGGTCGACGCTAACACGGCGATGCGAACGCGAGGTTATTAACGCTTAACAGGGTCTTTAACCGTTATTATTTTCCCCATTATGATGCAGAAAATCGTCATGTGTTCCACACAACATAACGCCAGAATCGGGGGAGTATCAATTTTTAAGCAGGCATTATAGACAAATGAGATATTGGCTCGTAACCGAAAATCAAAATGCAGCGAATGAGAGAGACTACTTCACTTTAAGAAATGACAATATCATGTATATTGATACATATATTAGAATATTGGTAAATATTAGTAAATACTAATTACTAATGGTATTATTTTCAGATTCGTTCAGACTGACAAGTACCTTATTTTCACAACAGGTTACAAGACATATACACCACACCAGATAGGATTCAAACGAATAAAACCATTTAAATTTCCCAAGCGAATGGAACTAGGTCTAAGCTTGAAGGAACGTTTGATATTATTCGAACAAAGAAAAGAACAAAGCCCGCCTCCGGATCCGGACTGGTTGGATTTCGATCAGGTGGCGGATAAGTTTGATAAAGTTGATCATTTGATCGATCTTCATGGACATATAGTCGGGATGGGACTGAGCCCAGATCAAAGGTAAGATTTTTGAGATAAATATGTTCAATAACCTATTTTTGTGCTTACATAGTATGTTTTTCTGGCAAAAGTTGAGTATAAAGGAAAACATTCTGAACAAATATTCATGACCTAAGTATTCTAGTTTTCTTTCTCTTAATGTAAACGCAATTTCCTGTTATTTTTCCATTCTTTCCAGTACTTTCCTCTTCGTCTGTCCAGGGTATTCGGAGAGTTCTTCTGTATTTCGATATTTTGAGGGCGAAGAGTTTTTTCGTTTATTGTCCTGTCAGGTTCCATGTTTGTGCTTTTACCATATAGGTAACCATATAGGAACTAGTTAACATTTATTTAATCGGATTTTTAATGGTAGTAAAAGTTCCTGCTGGTACGTATATATTTTTCATCTCAATAAAGCTTGATCCTGCCTTTTCAATCCTTAACCTAATCTCCATTCATTGTGGACAGTCCACTACGTATGCAAACTTCTCTACGTATTTTATAGGTGTCCCATGCAATAGATTTTCTGCCGATATTCTATTTTTCCTAATTAATATCCATTTCGTTTTTGAGGCGTTCAGTTTTAATCCGTAGTTTCAGATATACCCACACTATTTTTAGTGGATTCTGCAGGTCTTCAAAGCTGCTGGCTATAATGGCAGTTACGTCCGCACATCTAACGGTATTTATCAACTCCCCATTTATCTTATGCATTCTGTAGAATCATAAAGTCCCATAAAGTACCTTAAAACTAACATTGAATAATTTGTTAATAGTGTTTTGTAATATTATCCTGTTAAAAAATAAAACGCAGTGACATTTCCCCCTTTGCACAAGGGAGCATGGCATTTTATCTCCATGAATATGTCGATCCATGGTGTCATTAATTAAAACTATAGGGCTTACTCAAGTCGGCATTAAGTATTTATGATTGGTCATCGCACACGTTTTATTCCATTGAAATTTAACATTTTATCTAATTTTTCGTCACTCAGAGTACCTTTTTTCAATCGTCTACTATACAGTTTAAAGGTCGACGTGCAAATAAAATGGCTATCCCATAGCAAAACACAGTAATTGCATTTTTACAACAAGGAGAAAATTCAATTTTTATAAAATGTACAAGCCGTAAGAAATTATTAAATAAATTCAAACACAGACGTTTTTTAAAATATTATTGAACGGAATAATCCGCCTGAAAACTAATTTTGCATAGATTTAAATAAAAAATTAAAATCCATTTTTCCATAACAAAACACAGTAATTGCCTTTGCTATGTTTTGTAATTAGTACATCTTAAAAAATACTCCATTTTGCAGAACAGTAAGTGCTGTTAGTGTGTTTTGCAAGAATAAATTAAAACTATATGATAAAACAATATTTAAAAATTAATGGGAAAGTCCCAGTAGTTGGCTGTATATCATAGTTAAAAAACTTACACAGAAGTAAAAAAACTTCAAAATTTGTATATTGGTATAAAAAACAGTGTGTTTTTATACCAATATACAAATTTTGAAGTTTTTTACTTCTGTATAAGTTTTTTTAAATAATATTTATTTTAATAAAATACAGAATATAAAATACAAACATACCAATGTAAAAACTGTATTTAAAAATTAGGAACTACAAAAAAAAACAATCTGTACTTAAAACAATAACAAATAATATTACTAAAATGACAAAAGGAACGAACTAGGCAAATACATCGGTTTGCTAACAGCAGAAAACGAAACAATATAGACGAAATACGCAAATGAACCGATATATTTTATTTAAATATTGGAATCTATGACATACATTTGTTCATGCTCCATCAAGTCTAACGATGTTTCTGAGTCTGGTAGGCTTTGCCAAAAAAAAAACAACTTTTGGTTTTCCGGCATTAATGGTACTAGGTTTTTCAAAATGAAAAAAATGAAGATGTTTCAAAATTTACTTTTGGAAAAAGTGGAAGCTCATCGATATTCTAAAAATATAAAGATTTATTGACGATATAATAGTAATTATAATATGTTTTAAAAATATTTTACCTTCTTTACACATGAACGTGCCGAAGAAACTATATTTTTAGTTCGCATACTACATGCTAGCAACGTCTCACGAGGCAGCATCCTATCGCTTTGGTGAGTAAATTCGAACTGCTTGTGCTTGAAAAACACGCTGTATTTACAGTTACATGGTTACAGAGTAGGAGGGGTTGGACTTTCCACATAAATTGAAGACGTTTTCTCAAATCAAAACACAGTAACTATAAAAACCATTACAAAACCCAGTAACTACTTAGCAGATAAGCTAGCAGATTAGCTAGATTTTGATATGGTTTTTGTTAGTTACTGTGTTTTGCAGTATGCCGTATTTTCCTTATTTATGGTCCGATGTTAGTTTTAAAACTATCAGAAGTTTCAAACTCAGCAACTTCAAATTTATAAAAAAACTCGATTTTGACCAAAATTACGGTTACTGTGTTTTGCAATGGGGCAGCCAAAAAGTCTTGCGGTTTTACCTCTTCTGGAAACTAGCGCCTTTTGTGCCGGACTTACACTAAACAAATTTAATTCTACTATCCTTCTCTGAACTGCTTCCTTCTCTACTATCCTTCTGCAAGTTCATTTTGCGAAATTTTTTTAATGCTTTGGGCCATATATATTTTTTTTAATTTCCCGATTTTGGTAGGTTTTAAAAATCGTCGACGTTCCGGCAAATATCATTAAGTCCAAATTAGTTAGTTGTGAGAAAATCACAAGTTTAACTGAATTTTGTTGTCATAATTTCGTTTGGTTAGTTATAATCACTTTGGAGCACTTTTAATATCTAACTGATGGTTATGTTTGGGATAGTGATATTTATAATATTAAAAATATTGTCTGTCTCTATCCAAACGGGTTTGATCGATGGACTTAGTTACGTTTGCCTGACAAAAAAGCGAAATAATGAAAATTAATTCTATTTAAAATCTAAATAAGCAGACTTTATTGCATATCAAGATCCAAAAACAACAAAAATGTAAATCAAAAGGAATAAAACAAAAAAAAAACAATTATTATTATGAATCCGACTCACTCTCACTGTTTATGCTTGGCTCAGGGTTCCGATTTTCAGCAGATCGTAATTTCTGTAACGACAAATACCAATGGTGAAATTCGGAGGGAATAAAATTGTTAACACACAACTTCTTTAAGTCGTTATATTTTTGTTGAGAAATAGAAAGATTAGCCGAGTACGCGCTATTTAGCGTGGATTTTCCTGATGAGATAGGTCTGCCACGTCCGCTATTATGTACAAATATTCGCCGGAATGGCCATACAAATATTTTACTATGCCTGGCTTTTTTTTCAATCCGAAAGCATTTGACAACCATCTAACTTTTTCGCCGTGGATTTTAACTGCTCTATTTCTTAAAACAGCTAGCAAAAGTCTTTTGAAATCAAGGAAATCACTACATTTTGGTTTCTTAACGACATAATTATCATTTTGTTGTTTTCCTCTTTTCGATCGAGCCAACTTGAAAACATTTAACCAATCATTCATTGTATAAACAGCCCCATATTTGTTCTGTTTTCAGTCGCACTATGCATACTATCACACTTCATCATGGAGCATCCAGACTCAAGAAATTTGTGCTCTAGGATGGTAATGTCACTGCTTTCGTAATGAACAAAATTATATAGCATTAGATTGTACATTTTGATTCCAATTTCGTCCACCAAAAGTGTAGAAAAAGAACCAGACCTCCTGAAAGTAATTAGGCAAGGCATTTAGATACTGCAATAAGCATGTTGCAATTTCTAAGCTATCTCTTGCTCTATTTATTAGAGTCCAAGCGAAACAGTATGCATTATTCGGTGGAGCACCTTTATAAATTATAACCGAACAATTTCCTACTATAATACATTGGTGATAAGTCACTGCTTGGTATTTGCAGTAAGCTTTGGATATCAAATGTTACTGTAATTAAATGCGACTTATCCGTTGCTCATTGTTTGTCAACCTGTTTTGCAATATTTGCAGCAGCTTCACGATGTTTATGTTCATGGTATTTTGGTTTAAGCTTAGCCTTTTCTTTACCACGTGCAGCTTGATATCTCATACAAAGGGAACACTGATTCTTGCGTGGTTTAAAGAACGAATAATTGTAATTGTTGCCAAATATTCTTTTGTAGGTAGTCATACTTTTAAGTGAGTAACCGTTTTGTTGACATATTTCTTTGCATAGCGAGTACATTTTAGCTATGGAGAGTGTCGCATTCAAATTCTCCGAGACTCTTTTCTACAGTAATGTGAAAGTCGGTTAACGGGAAACTCTCAATATGATTTACAATGATTTGTTTATCCTCCTCTGAAAGTTTATTTACTGGGATAGGTCTGCCTCGTTTGTCACTTTTAGTATACAGTCCTGATGTAGCATTTCGGTTTTCAAATTCTTTATTTAACGGTAAGTTGCTTAATGACAGGGTTTTTAGAAAAAAGTTTGGCATATTGTAATTGGTGTTCCGTTTTTACAAAAATAAATTTGTTTTTTGGAATTTTTCACAACTTGTAGACGGAGTATCTAACTTCTCGAAGTGAACATGAGCCTGTCCTGTATTCTAAAAGCGAAATCTATAATTCTAAAACAATGAGTTAAAGTAACAAGTGCTTAAGTTTACCTTTACGACTTCGCATGAAACATTCCAAGACACATTATTAATACTATTGCTAGTATTATTATTTATTGGCACTACTGACTGAACTATAACGTTTGGTTTTATATTCAAATCTCTGACCAGTTTGATCAGGCGTTTACCTATGCCCTCCTGCACTATGATTTGTGTTTAATGGCTATTTGTATTAAAGAATATTATATTATTCCACTATTATAACTTGCAAGACACATTTATTATCAAGTAACAGAACATAATATGCAACGAAATCGAAGTGTAAACTCGAACTGTCAAACCAATACATCATTAAGTCCAATTGGTGCCACTAATAATACATATGATTGCCAATTTCAGCAAAAGTCATTAAGTCCATTTAGTGATTTTTGCCTGGTAGAGCAAAGTGTTGTTTGTGACTTACATACTTATGCACTCATATGCAACCAGTCATACGTCATGCATGGACTTCATGACTTTTGCCAGATAATAGAACCTGCTTTTTAAAAGTTGTTGATGTCTTTATCTAAGAATTGTATAAAATGGACTTAATGACTTTTGCCAGAACGTCGACGAAATGTTCACTTTTATTATATGATTAAAATATTTTAAATACTACGAATTTACTTGCAATTTAAGTTTGTTTTTGATCTTTTATATACACTCACAACTGTTTGATTTAAAATTTTCCAAATTGAAATATCTCTTGACATAATTAATTCCCACAGAAATATTACAAATAGTCTAAAATAAATTCCACAATAAATGTTTTCTTTTACTTTCACTGTAAACTTATTTTTTGAAAAAATAATTAAAATGTTGCTTTACTTTTGAAAATTTGCAAACTTGGTCAAAATGAGTTTATATTAGTTGATCGTAGAAAATACTATTGTAGCCAAGGATAGCAGCCTATCTATCCCGATATAATGCATATAACAGTGAAAAATTTGTTAAATCGCTGCTTTCTTCTTCTTCTTCCAATGGCGCTACAGCCCAAATTGAGCCTTGGCCTCCTGTAACTTCTGCCTCCAACAAAGGCGATCCCGCGCCACTCGTCTCCAAGCCCTGACGTTCAATAAGTTGTGCGCATCTGCTGTGACTTCGTTCTCCCATCTATTACGTGGTCTTCCCTTTGGTCTTCTGCCCTGCATTTTACCATCCAAGGCCTTTCTCGGCAATCTGTCGGCATCCATCCGTACCACATGACCAGCCCATCGAAGCCTTTGTACTCTAGCGAACTCTGCAATAGGTGCTTCTTTGAACAGTTGGTAGAGTTCATGGTTATATCTAGATCTCCACATCCCATTTTGAGTGATGGGTCCAAAGATCTTCCTTAGGATTTTTCTCTCGAAAACCTCTAATCTTCGTTTAGTGCTTTCTGTCAAAACCCATGTCTCGCATCCATAGCATACTATCGGTCTGATGATAGTTTTATAGACCTTAAGTTTCGATTTTCGATGTACCGTCTTGGAGTGGAATATGTTAATCAGGGAAAAATAGGCTTTATTTCCCTTCATTATTCTCTTCTGAATTTCGGCCTCTTCTGTTCCCTCCGTATTCATTTCGACTCCCAGATAAGTAAAACTCTTCACTGTTTCAATGTCATCCTCTACTTTGATTTGATTTCTTGTTCGCTTTGTCCGCGTCTGTGTTAGTATTTTTGTCTTCTGTGTATTTATTTCAAGTCCAATCTCCTTGGCCGTTTTTTTCAGCTGCGAATATGTTTCTGCTGCATCATCCACTCTGCGGGACATGAGGTTAATGTCAAAACGCTGCTTTACTTTTGTCATATGTATTTTTTCATAACCTTATTTTAAAAAAATACAGTAATCATTGGTAGGTAGATTCACTTTTTTCAATCTCTTCATGTATCTGTATAAAGAATTCAGAATTTTTACTGACTTAATAAAGAGACGAAAAAGCGCATAAAATGTTATATAAATAAAGTGTCACTTGACGCATTTTTCCACTATCAACAAAATTTTTCCACGCCCATCCGGCACAACCTTTACTTCTAAGACTTAAATTTTGATTTAAACCAAAATTACAGTTGTTTTTATTTTCAGATATCTGTATGTAAATAGCAGATCTTGGCCGGAAAATTACGTGATAAGTAACCCTTTGGATCCACCGCCAATAGCACAAGAAATCGACATTCATGTGATAGATTTAGTGACTTTAAAACAAGTAGGAAAGATGCTTCGAGCGCACAAAGCATTCACACCGAATAACGAATGTTTCTTTATATTTTTGGACGTGTGCAACGAATATGTGGCCAGGTAAGTGTCAATTTAAGGTACATTTATGAGGTCAAGAAGGGGTACATGTGAACGAACGAGCAGATTTTTTGGCAAATCAATGCTCGAAGGAAACCTTTGTAGACCCAGTAACATTGTGCGGCATTAGCAAAGATGCTGCAAGAAACGAGATTCAGAAGTGGCCGGAATAAGAAATCATAAAAAAATGGAACATTGATAAAGAACTCCCGGATAATTTGATGAACGGCAATTAACGAGAAATTAAAACGGTTGTAACGATACGATCGTTAGTAATCTAATGTAATCGAATTTGCCGCCGTAAGTCTTTATTTTAATTAGCAACAATTAGCTATTCCCTAGTTTTCCCTTATTTCATTGGTAACAATTGGCCTAAGTATCCAAGATACATATAAATATTATAAAAAAAAAATGAAATTCAAGTTATTAAGTTTGTAAAAATATACTGTTCTTAGTAACCCTTTTGCTGGAAAGGGAGTTACTTAATTTGGTGTCCAGTGTTCCGGTAGTGGAAGGACTCTAGATGGATCCGCCTATGTTCCTGTATCAGCTCTTAAGGACTGGCAGACCAACCAAGTGTTGTAGTGTGTAGTTCTTTCCAAATCAAACAACTTCTTCCCCAAATAAAAAATTTGATTCTTCCCAAAAATCCGTTATTCTTCCCCAAATCCGTTATTCTTTCACAAGTAAAAAAAATCTTCCCAAATAAAATGACATCCCAGTCTTGAAATTATTGCCGGCAGGCTAAAAGAAACAGAAAAAGTCTTTTTTTATACTAAGTTCTTGTATTTAATAGAGTTTTTGTTCTAGTCACAAAAACTCGAATATATTTGCCATGAAGTGACCTTGGCTCAAATCTTTAGTGTTAATACACTGGAATATAGGAATATATGGAATCTAATATGTATATAAAAAAATAGGAATGATATTTGGATATTTGTAGTAAGGTGAGAAGATCTAGACGATTGAGAATAGGCAAATTTAGATGGAAAATGTGTGATAACTTACCAGAACTTATTTGGAGGTTTTATTTTCCATAAACTAAATACTTCAATAACTTCTCAAGGCACAAACTAAATACTTCTTAAAGAACAACCCAAAAAAAAAATTCATCACCTTTCCCCAAAAATAATAAAATAACTTACGGCTGTTTTATCGGTACACCAAAACCTAGATACAGTATTTTCTCTGTTATTTACCGACAAAATATCTCGAAATTTGGACACGTTATTCAAAATTATGTTGCCTTTAAACTGATGGTTTTACTTTTTTAATTTTTTTGAAAGTTCTTTTGAAATATCGGATTATACAGTTTAACGTTCTATTATAACCAAACTTTTTACGCCCATCACTTGAAAGAGTTTTTTTTTTCTGTAATCGTTGGTTTTTTTTTCACCTTTTTATGTCCAGTAATAATCGAGAAAAGCGTGTTCAAACTTTGAAGAAAATTGCTAAAAAATACTGAAATCTAATAGTGAAACGTGTTACTCATCATTGGCATTTAGTTTCACCGTTATCGGCTGCGTGACGTCAAATCTCATGAACGTACGGTCAGATAGTTTGATTTGAAATCAATTTCAAGCTATAACTGCGAAATTGTTTATTTGTTTGTGACAACAAATTAAATTTTTTTTTGATAATAATATTTTTATGTTATTTTAAATTTATTATAAATAAACACCATGATGTTTTTTGCAGTCACGTTTCACAAATTTATATTCAATACTATATTTAGCTAAGACATATAAATTAAAAATGTGATAATTATTTTTAAAACATCTACGATAATCAAACAAAAAAGGTATTCCGGACAAAAGTAATACAACGTAATCGATTATCTTATCGATATCGATGTTCAAAAGTCATAAAAATGAACTTTGACAGACATTGGGCATCTTCTAAATAATTTCAGTTAAACATTCTGTAAATTCACGTACTGAATAAAAGGCATGGCTGATTAAGAATTGTTTTAATTTTTTTTGAAAATTTCTTAGTGAATTAAAATTTTTAAAACTAGACGGTAGTTAATTAAAAAGTAGGGAGCCTGCATATTCAGGAGACTTTCTTAAAGGCTATAGCGGGATAAGATGGTCAAAAGTGCCCCCGCACCGATCAGCAGCGCGATCTGTGCTTTCGATAAAGTGTATAAAAACATGACTTCATACAAATTTTCAGCTTTCCAGAGGCCACGGAACCTCTTAAATCTAAAAAAGAAGCTTTTTTCGACTTTATTTTTTTCTGGACGCAATTTTGCTTTAAAAAATCTGAAAAAATTCATGAAGGTGTATCTTTTGAATACAAAATAGCCTGATTTTTTTCAAATTTTTATATTGAAAATTGAGCCTAGGAAAAATTATTGAAATTTTCAATAATTTTTTAGGTTATGTTAATAATTTTTGGCTAACTTTTAAATAGTAATTTTTTGTGTATTTTTTTTTGTTCTTTTGAATGGCCAAGGCAAAATTTTCAAATTCTGAGCGGAAAGCATCGAAAAATAAAAAAAACCGTTTTTTTACTCATTTATTTGCACATAACCTTAAAACTCAGTTGTTAATTGAACATTTTTCAACATTTTTTCTTTCCACATTATCAAATTCTATTGTATAAGTCCCCATTTAACTCTTTCAAAAGGATAAAATTCGAAAATACCACGTTTTTTATCCATTTCGCACTTTTTTACCTTAACTCAAAATCAGATAATTAGATGTATGCTTTTCCATCTATTCTCTTACGGGCTATGAATCATCATTGTTAAAATAATCATTTTTAACTTACAAATTCTTAAAATGCGAATAAATCATGTATTTATAATATTTTCCCACTTTATTGGCTCATAACCTTAAAATGTAGTAGATAAATGATCGAATTTCCGTGTATTTTTGATTGTACCGGGTACCCTTCAGTTTTATTATACCACTTGTCTTTTTTTTTCTTATATAGTCAAAACTCGAAAAAAAAAACATTAACTTTAAGATTGACCCTTCCTCAACAATTGTATTTATCGTTTTTAATCGCATATCCGTTGCGAGTTAATATCGAAAATCTCGAGTCGTATTCAAATTCTCGAAGTAGTTGGTCAAATCGAAGTTTAGAGTTGAATATTATAACTACCATATTATTATATCCTTTAGGCACGCGTATCCATATCGTACTCTATGGGCTAACACAGTCAAAGCAAACACAAGATCAAGAATTTGAGTTTTAGTAGGTTAGCTAATGAAATATACCTATTAGGTCCTATATTTTGCATCAATCAGTTATTCAAAAGCTAATATTAACATTGTATTTGATTGATTTTTTCATTTTCAGAAGACTGTATACCTATTTGTAATTATTCTATAATCTCATCCGGGTCATGAATTTCAAACTATAATGTAAAATCCTTTTTAATAGAATCAATATAGAAAAATTAAAGCCGCTGGCTATTATAATAAGCTAGCAAGTTTACTTCAGTTACATTAATTTAAACAAATAGAAATTAAATATGCATATGGATGATTCTCTGTCAAGTGAAAGTCAAAAAAACTTTTTAACTTGTCGGACCAACTTGTTTTGATTTTTGATGGAACATATTTACATCACCAAAAGAGTCAAAATAACGATTATCAGAGATAGTCGTATTCAGGTCAGAAAAAGAAACCCTTGCTCAAACCTTTTACTATTTGTACTACAGATGGATACGTTGTAGATCTCCCTGGTCAATTTTATGCCACTGAAAATGATGCAACCATCATGAAAAAAGTAATGGATGATATAAATGGTATAAAATCTATCATGAAAAAAGGAGATGTGTGTATCGTGGATAGAGGTTTTAGGGATGTTGTACCTTACTTAAAAAGCCTTGGCTTCAAGATTCTTATGCCTGCCTTAAAAGGAAAAAGATCCAATTTGACCACGGCTGAATCAAATGAATCACGCTATGTAACTAAATTGAGGTGGGTCGTAGAAGCCGTTCATGGAATTCTTGGCAAAAAATATAAGCTTCTTCATCAACAATTAGATAATAAACTTATACCAAAAGCTGGTGCATATTGTAAAATAGCATGTTTTTTTAACAATTTATTTGGTAAGCGTTTGAATAGTGATCAAAATGATGATGGGTTACAGGATATAATAATCGAAAGAATGTTAAAATCTAATCAAGGTGAGAATACTTTAGCATTAGAAGCTGAGACAGCTAGGTGGTCAAGACGTCCTACTACAACGACTAAGCTGACATCGCAAGAAATCATTAACTTTCCAGAGATGACTGAAAGGGACCTCAAAATTTTTTTTTCGGGAACCTATCAGTTAGGTCAAGCCATTTGCTATTTGGCTGAGTTGATGGATGATAGTAATAACATTAATTTGGAGTATATTACAATGAAACCAAATATTATTAAAGTACTAATAAGATCCAGGCATATAAGCAGTAAGACCTATAAATGCTACATTGAGTATAAACCTGATTTAATTGGATATGGTGGTATTTTGCGTCACGCATGTGACTGTGCAAATGGGTTACGCACTGTGGGTTCGTGTTCTCATATAGCCGCAGTTATATATTATCTCAGTAATGCAAGATATAAATCGAGAATCATAAGACCAGCAAAAATTCTGTCAGAAATTTTTAAATCTGATGTTGAACCTGTCATAGATGAGAATAGTGATGAGGACTAAAATGTAATTGAATGTTTAAACTGTTAATTTAAATAACCTATTGAATAACCATTTCATAATAATAAATATTTTTGTAGCCAAATATTTTATATATGTCCTCGTTTATATCCAAATGAATTTATAAAACAATTTTTACAATGTTAAAAAAATATTTGAAAAATAATAATATTCTTGTCCTATTGAGGTGATCCTAGAGATATATCACTTTATGCTATTAACGAGTCAAAAATAGAAATAATACTTGGAAACCGTTTTTTTTCAAGTTTTGACTATTTAAGAAAAAAAAAGATAAGTGGTATAACAAAATTGAACTGTGCGATCAAAAATACACGGAAATTCGATCATGTAGCTACTACATTTTAAGGTTAAGAGCCAATAAAGTGGGAATATTATAAATACATGATTTATTCGTATTTTAAGAATTTGTAAGTTAAAAATGATTATTTTAACAATGATGATTCATAGCCCGTAAGACAATAGATGGAAAAGCATACATCTAATTATCTGATTTTGAGTTAAGGTAAAAAAGTGCGAAATGGATAAAAAACGTGGTATTTTTGAATTTTATCCTTTTGAAAGAGTTAAATGGGGACTTATACAATAGAATTTGATAATGTGGAAAGAAAAAATGTTGAAAAATGTTCAATTAACAACTGAGTTTTAAGGTTATGTGCAAATAAATGAGTAAAAAAACGGTTTTTTTTTATTTTTCGATGCTTTCCGCTCAGAATTTGAAAATTTTGCCTTGGCCATTCAAAAGAACAAAAAAAAAATACACAAAAAATTACTATTTAAAAGTTAGCCAAAAATTATTAACATAACCTAAAAAATTATTGAAAATTTCAATAATTTTTCCTAGGCTCAATTTTCAATATAAAAATTTGAAAAAAATCAGGCTATTTTGTATTCAAAAGATACACCTTCATGAATTTTTTCAGATTTTTTAAAGCAAAATTGCGTCCAGAAAAAAATAAAGTCGAAAAAAGCTTCTTTTTTAGATTTAAGCGGTTCCGTGGCCTCTGGAAAGCTGAAAATTTGTATGAAGTCATGTTTTTATACACTTTATCGAAAGCACAGATCGCGCTGCTGATCGGTGCGGGGGCACTTTTGACCATCTTATCCCGCTATAGCCTTTGTGTGATTATGATGGGGAAGATAAAGTATCCTTGCATTTCTTGTGTTGTACGCGTGTAAGTCAGTTGCTGTTTTAAGAACATTTAACTTAGTGAACGTATGTGATAGTAATTTATAAATATATATTGAAGCAAGCGTAAGAATGTTATTATTTTTAAAACATTGTCGACAACTGTCCTTAAAGCGTAAACCAAATATTGTTCGAATTATTCGTTTTTGTAGGATAAAAATACTCTCAAACTTTCCGATGCCTGTCCCCAAACAATAATGTTTTGACTGATTATGGAATACACTTGAGAATAGTATAGTGTAACCAACGCATTTATATTAACGTCGTCCTTTAACGACAATATCGCGAAATATGATTTATTTAATTTTAAACAGGTATTGTTTACGTGTTCACGAAAATTTAAAGTGTTGTCCACAATCGTGCCAAGAAACGTAGTACTGTTAACTGATTTAATAACCACGTTGTCTGCAATTTCGAACAAAGAAGTAGTTTTTTTTCTTTCACCATAAGAAAACTGAATACACACTGTCTTATCCAGATTTATTACCAAATTATTTCGGTAGCACCAGTTTTTAAACGACAGTATTACATTTTTGATCTGAGATTGTGCTAACTCGACGGATTCCGCTGAGACAAGTATGGTGGTATCGTCTGCATACATGAATATATGTTTTTCTGAGATATATTCAGGCATATCATTTACATAAAGTAAAAATAGTAGTGGACCCAATATGCCACCCTGGGGTATTCCTAAATTACTGTAGTATATTTCCGAGGAAATATTATTAATAGACACAAAAAGAGATCTATTTGTTGTGTACGAATAGATCCATGAGTTAACTGGTTCGCGAATGCCTATAGCTATAAGTTTTTCTTTCAAACACACTGGATCAAGACATTCGAAGGCCCTCGAGAGATCACGGTCGTATCGTTACACGGTCACCAAAATGGCGACTGAACATTGCCGTTTACGAAAACACCTGTATAAAATAGATACGGTACATAAACATACACATCCTATGCCACTGCAATATACCAAGTGATATAAGGCAGAAATTCACTGGCCAACTGATGATTGAAACAGAAGAGATCCTAAAACTAGCAATGAGAAAACTGTTTTCCTAAGTGGCAGAGATAAACGTGTCTCGCCTGAACTAAGAAGAAAAAGAAAAGAAGATACATTTCTATATTAGTATATTGTATATCATAAACTTCAAAATTATTCGTGATAATAATGTTTCTTTCAGATTTCGTCGTTGGTCTAACACATATTTTGTGTTTACAGTGATATTAGATATTCACTTTAAACCACTGTCAAAAAGAGACTAACTGACAGATCTCTGAGTACTGTATACGCAGTTAGAGAATAATTCTCATAGTTCAAATATAAAAATAAAAAAAATAATAAAAAAAAATTACATCTTATTTCTCATCATTTATGACTAATATATTCTAAGTATTTATAAAAAAACACTAATGCTATAGTTAATCAGGTCTTATAAAATATTGTATTACCGTTTTTTTTAGCGGAGCAGAAGATAAACATGGTTACCTATGGGACCGGCATTACGGCGCATGCCTAGCCAAGTTTCCCCATCGAGACGTCGTCAACTCCGTGGCTTTCAACCCGAAAGATCCCGAAATGTTGGTGACGACCTCTGACGATCATACGATCAGAATATGGCGATCTAGAGAGAAAGTGAACAGCCTTAAACTAAACGAAGCTGCGTTTCTAAAAGGAATTGAAATGAGAAAAGGTAATGTGGTGAAGAACAGTCGTAAAAGATTGAATATGTCTCCGGATAGTTAGTTAAATGGCGAAAACGCGAGTTTGTATGTGATTTGTTTTAGGTTTTGTATGATATTCGGTCAAATATTCGATATATTTTAGTAGATCTATATCGGTTACATTTGAAGTTTGGATTGTGATATAGGCAAAAATTATCGGGTTGGAGCCAAACACGTTTTTTAAATACCTGACTTCAAATATATGAGCAGCAGTAATAATACTGTTACTTAAAAAAGTTACATTGACCAAGACTTGGTGAATATATTGGCTCAGGTAGCACTGGAAAGCGTTTTATAAATGCAAGTTTATGTACAGACGAGACAGTATAAATTAGAGTTGTTTCTCATATTTTTATCAAAAATGCTCTTGAACCCAACAAGAATACAAGGTTGCGTTTTGTTTGTCTTTTTTATGGCTGTATATTCAATTACCATTCTTAAAATCTTTTACAAACTCATTTTAGATCTTTCTGCTTAAAGTTTCGCAAATTATTTTGTCACTTTCGCGTTCTCTCTCTCCTTCACTCACTCACTCACACACTATCTCTCTCTCTCTCTCTCTCTCTCTCTCTCTCTCTATATATATATATATATATATATATATATATATATATATATATATATATATATATATAATGTAGACTTGAATTTTGGTAGTGGATGATGCGCCTACATACGGATTGATAAGAAATGAAAAAATGTCTTCTTCTTAGGGTGCCTGTCCGTTCCGAACGTTAGCGATCATTCTGTGTATGATGACTTCGGAGATAAATGCATCGGAAATAATGGGAAAAACCAAATCCGTTAGACAAAATGAATGGTTTGACGAGGAGTGCCAACAAGCAACACATAACAAAAATAGAAAATACATAAGACAAATCAAGCTAGATACACAAGAAGAGCAAATGAGGAATATCGGACCTTAAGAAGAGAAGAAAAAAGATTACACAGAAAAAAAAGCAATTTGAAGAAAAGCAGTTAAAAAACTTAGAATGGCTAAGAAATCAAAACGAAACTCGAAAGATCTACAGAAATGTAAACAAAATGAGTAAATAGTTTAAGCCAAGATAAGGAGCTGTAAGGAAATATCTTAAGTGATACGGCCTCAATCTTGAACCGATGGGTTATCGAAGAAATAGATAACACCGTAGCAGACCGAAATGATTTGAATCTATTAAACCCAAACGAAAGACCACCTAACACTGAAGAGGTTGCCCAAGCCATTAAAAAGCTTAAAAATAATAAAGCACCAGGAAGCTTAAAAATAATAAAGCATCCAATTTGTAGTGAGCTCTACAAGAATGGTGGAGAGGCCCTGCTACAAGCACTGCATAAATTTTGACTTCTTGTCTGACAAAATGAGACTATGCCCTGTGAATGGTCTCAATGCGTGATAAAAAAGGCGATTAACTTTAGTGTGACAACTACAGTGGTATAACCTCGTTAAACAAAGATACTCTACGAAAAGCTACAAGTTTACACAGTTGGAAATAGCAGGCCGGATTTACTCCAAAACAATCAACAATTGACCAGATTCATTCAATAAGACAGATCCTTGAGAAAACATTAGAATTTAACATTGAAACCCATCACCTATTCGTCGACTTCAAGGCCGCATACGACAGTGTCAAGAGAACAGTACTATACCAATCAATGCGTGAGTTTGGTATACCAGAAAAACTTATCCGATTAACTAGAATGACAAAGTCTAATTTAAAAGCCAGCTTTAAGATACAAAGAGAAAATTCTCGATCCTTTGAGATAAAGGATGGAATCACACAAGGGGATGCTCTGGCTTGCCTTCTATTTAATATTGACTTGGAAAAGACAGTTCGAGACACACGAATTAAAGACGGCCTATACCAATCAATGCGTGAGTTTGGTATACCAGAAAAACTTATCCGATTAACTAGAATGACAAAGTCTAATTTAAAAGCCAGCGTTAAGATACAAAGAGAAAATTCTCGATCCTTTGAGATAAAGGATGGAGTCTCACAAGGGGATGCTCTGGCTTGCCTCCTATTTAATATTGACTTGGAAAAGACAGTTCGAGACACACGAATTAAAGACGGCGGACTATTTACAATACGAGCCCTAACAACTATATATTGGAACAAGTAGTTATTTTGCGAAAATAATGCCAGTGTACCAAAACTCTTTTACTTAATTTTGTTTTAATTGTAAATATGAAATTAACAACATTTTTTTTATGCATAGAAGTATTTTTGCTGCTTAAGTATATATTTTATATTGATTACTATTTAATTAATTGTTTGATAGTCGAAAACTGCAGATAGAGTCACGAATGTCGAGGTGTTGAGAAGAATGGGTAAAGATAAAGAGGTCTTAAATACAGTTAAAGTCAGAAAACTGCAATATCTGGGACATGTTATGAGGGGCGAGCGTTATAACTTGTTGCAATTAATAATGCAAGAAAGAATACAGGGTAGAAGGAGTCATGGAAGAAGACGCATCTCCTGGTTAAATAATTTGAGAGCTTGGTTTAACTCCACTTCTGCTGACCTCTTTAGAGCAGCGGCGTCGAAAGTGCGAATTGCCATGATGGTTGCCAACCTTCTTAGAGGAGATGGCACGTGAAGAAGAAGAAGAAAGACAACCGTCAGTTTTATTACGAGTAAAATATAAGAATGGCACGTGGAAAACCTACTGATCCAAAAGTTCGAGAAATTATTATTCATCAGTACCATGAAGGGAAAACAATGCGTGAACTTTCCAATGAATTGACTGTAGCAACAACTACTTTATTTAACACGATTAAGAAATATGGTGAAACTGTCAGTATTGATGTTTGCGGCAAAAGCTCAGACCGTCCAAAAGCTGTTTCTCAAATAAGTAGAAGGCCTTTAATTAGAATATGTAAGTCCGGAAGAAAAAATACACTACGAGAATTAACTGCTCTAAGGAATAGAGAAACTGGAATGAATGTTTCCAGAGAATCCTGTCGCCAATATATCCATAAAAGCGATCTTAGTTTTTATAAGGTATATTTGATAGGTTCTTCTTTGCGATACAAATGTTCTATTGTTCGAGTAGGCCAAAGAAAAACCATTGTTAACGGAATTTTAAAAAAGGAATCGTTACATTTGGGCTAAATCAAAACTTTCGTGAACTAAACATAATGGGACAAAGTTATCTACAGCGACGAAAGCAAATTTGATGTCTATGTGGGAGATTATCGAAAGCGTGTGATTCGGGAAAAACGGAAAACATTCCATAAGGATTTTCTCAAAAGAACTGTAAAGTTTCCACAGAGCATCATGTTGTGGGGTTGTATCTCGGCCAAAGGTTTAGGAACTTTACACATTTTATTGAGGCCATAGTAAATGCAGCCAAATATCAAGATATCCTTAAATATTCGTTTCTACCAGGTGCGGCAAAGATATATACATCCGGAGATTTTATCTTGCAGCAGGACGGAGCCTTATGTCATACGGTTAAATCTACCAAAAAATGGATGGAATAACATGACTTTAAAGTTTTGTCACATCCTTCTAGCAGCCCAGATCTTAATCCAATAGAGACACTTTGGCACAAAATGAAATAACGCCTAAGAAATGACCCGGAGCGTACTTAGCCTTAACTATGTGCTAAATTACAAGAAATATGGGATAGTTTCACCCCTGAATTCTATGAAGGCCTATTTAATACAATCCCTAATAGAGTTCGGGCTATTGTTCAAGCTAAGGGCGACGTTACGCCCATAGTAATTAACATAAAATATATAATTAAACTGTAAAAATAACCCTATACATAATAAAAAATGTTGTTAATTTCATATTATTATTCATTATATATATCATGTTGTTAATTTCATATAATTTTCATATACGCCGATGCCGTTGACATAATAGGGCGTAGCAAGCGATATGTTGAGCAATATTTTCTATAATTGGAACCGCCGGCGAAACAGGTCGGTCTTGTCATCAACGAAGATAAAACCAAGTACATGTTGGTTACTAAGGATCCTATAGCAAATAAGGAACGGGGAAACAGCATTTGGAAATCATGCTTCAAATACTTTGGTTCGCTAGTGACTATTGCCAATGAAACAAGCGAAGAAATTAAAAGATGAATAAACCTTACAAATAGGGCATACTACGGACTCCAAAAACAATTCCACTCAAGAAATATCCAAAGAAAAACTAAAATTATTATATATTAAATACTTCTTCTTTGAAAAGAAGAAGAAAGAAGAGAATACTGTTGAGGCCAGTCCTTACATACGGGGCGGAAACATGGACTCTAACGCAGAAGGATGAAAGACTTCTGGAAGTACTCGAGCGTAAGATACTCCGCAAAATATTTGGAGCTATAAACGATCAAGGGCAGTGGCGCAAAAGATTTAATTTCGAATTATACCAACTATTTAATAAACCAGGTGTAACTAGTTCATTAAAACACAGCGACTTAGATGGGCCGGCACATAATACGAATGCCTGACAACATGATTGCTAAAAAGCCAACGACAGGAACACCTATAGGAAGAAGAAGCAGAGGCCAACCGCGAATTAGGTGGTTAGATGGAGTTCAGACCGACTTAGAGATACTAGAGATCAGAAGATGGCAACACGTTGCCAGAAACCGAACAGAATGGCGACTAATCTTAGAGCAGGCCAGGATCCACAGATGATTATCGAGCCATAGATTGCTCCCTCATCTGCTTGTATCCTAATTACTAAGATATAATGATTTTTTGTTTAATGATCATCAAAAATTTAGACTTGTACTCGACAGAACATCTGAGAATGCGGTAAATAGGTCAGTTAATTGTCGCAGAACTAATTTTAAGAATTTTAGATATCTAACTCATTCGTTCTTGTTAAAACAGGAATACCTATTCACTTGGTTTTTTGACTTGATTTAACTTGGGTCAATCAAATCTTGGAATTTACGATATGACAACTTCTTTTGTAATTTTATTTGTTTAACTTTTCCAAAGAATTCGATAGTGTTGAGCTATCTAGTGTTGATCAAAATTTATTCAAATTTATCAAAAGTTAG